GTGTGTGTGTGTGTGTGTGTGTGTGTGTGTGTGTGTGTGTGTGTGTGTGTGTGTGTGTGTGTGTGTGTGTGTGTGTGTGTGTGTGTGTGTGTGTGTGTGTGTGTGTGTGTGTGTGTGTGTTCAATAAACAACCATTTTATCATTTAACAAACTCATCATCAATACATATCCATTTTGTAATAAAGGCACAATAACTGTCTGTTACAACAACACACGTTGTGCTGTAGTAGCTACTATCGGCTGATCTGTTGCTACAACCATCTACGATCTGTACTCCTAACGGCCATAGTAGTTACTACTTCTAGTCCGTCAAATCTACCGTCTTTGGCAGTCGTTCCAACTGACTTTTTTTTTCAGTGTAGATCCCACTGAATTTCAGATTCTTCTTCCTTGTCATGATTCTTATTTTATTTCTGAAGCTGCTAAGATAAACGACCCAGCTAGTATTACTCCCATGGATATGCTTACAATTTCCGTAACCCTTTGTCTATTTTATATCATTCCGCTTTTACACCTTTAAAAAATACTATTCTTTCTTTTATTTCTTTCCTCGAGTTCATACTTCAACTCTCCTTTCGACATTTTATTAGGGTTACTTTTATCTGCTACCTTTATATATTTCTTTGCTGCTTCCTCTTCATGATTTTCAATCTGCACTCTCCCTACTTCAAGCTTTTTTAAGTCATCTTCTACTTTATTCTTTGACCTTTATTTAGTGTTCACTTTTTTTCATTTCTTGTCTTGCTACTATTCCTTTTTCTACTTTTAGCCTGCCCTGTAATTTATTAATTTTCTTCACTAATTTTTGTTTGTCTCTTTTTGTTGTTTCTGACATTCCTTTTGATCTTTCACTATTCTTCTCCTTTTTATTCAGCAGATCCACTACTTTTTAACCTTTAAATTATTTTCATTGTTCACTTCTAATAAGCTAATTAACTATTTCATTTACTCCATTCTTAACATTTCATTTACCTTTTCTTGCTTTCTTTTCTTTACTTCTTCCGTCCACATCACTTTTATAATTAAAACCTTTACATTTTCTCTTTTTCCTACTGCAATGTCAAAACTAGTACTTTCAGATGCTAAGAACTTTTCCATACAACTCCTCTCCTCCGATTCCTCAACTTCATTGCAGACCAATAAAACGATAAAAATTTCAACACTTTGGACAGTTTTCCGATCACATATAAGTCAGATGCACGAATACCCATTTAAGTTTTTTTACATAAGATTTTTTATATATTTGAAAATTGACATTAATTCTTTCCGAATTTTTCGAGTTGCGGAAAGTTTAAATTCTAATATAAAGGTGTCCCGGTGGCAGCATGGGTAAAAAAGCTGATAACCAAAAAATTTTCATTTTGTTAGAAAAATGTTAACTCTAAGACAATCATACAATTATTTCAAAATTTTCCAAGTTTTAGAAAGCCTTTCAGACTAATAAATGGACGAAAAACCAACAATTTCGTCAGTTTTCCGATCACATCTAAGTCAGACACATTGATACCCACGTAATCAATTTGTACTTAATCATCATAGACTTTAATTATTTTAAGCACCAGTACATATCTTAAGCACATTATTTACTCTCGAAAGACGAACTTAGCTGACGTACTAAATGAAGCGTTCGACAAAAAATTTTTTCAAAAAACAAAAAAATCAACATGTAATTTTTTTCTACGCCATTTATTAGGAATAACGATAACTATTTTACTTGAGGTACCTAGAAACTAATATAGAAAGATATTCATTGAAAAAAAAAAAAAAAAACACGAAAAATCATTATTCTAATGATAAATTTCCCACAATATTCTACCAGACCTTAGGATCACTGTGGAAAATGACACAATCGATCTCTGTGTACCTATAAACTCCATCAAATAAGTTTCGAGTCAATTTTGAAAAATGTAGCAAGGTATATGGAAAAAATTTTAGTAGATATCAATGCGCCAGACTTCGATATTAACGGAAAACTATAAAAATTATATGAAAAATATGTTGATTTTATATCGTTTAATCGATGTAAAATCACTTTCGATCGATCACTTTTATACGTTTTTGTATAGTATTTGTTGTTTGCCTGCCATTATTAATCGATTTCTTCACCAAATCTTAATTTCAATTTTTCGCGATTTGGACCGGTTCAAACTTCAGACACATATAAAACACTTGACCTCAGTCTATAAAAAACATATGTATACATAAAATTGTATACATTTCATTATTTTTTAAAAGACAAGCACCTAATGCAAGAAAATAAAAAGTCAAACAGTTGAACCCTCAAAATTTTTTCGCTTGTTTTCTCCGTTGTATCTCAAAACTTTATTATTACTATTGCGTTTAACCTCTATCATGTAAGTTGATCATCTTATTAATAAAATATTCACTTATTATTACGTTTTTCTCTTGCAAATTCAAAGTTTACTAACATAAAAAACTTACATAAAAAATGATTCTCAGCTAGATTACAGAAAAGTATCAAGAAGATGACAGAATGTATCCTGACCTTAGTCTATAAAAATCATAAAATTATATACATTTTATAATTTTTCAAAAGACACGGACCTAAAGTAAGAACATAAAAATTCAAAAAATAATAAGTCGTGGCATCAAAACAAACAATCACAATTAAAAATGCAAAGTTAAATCATCATAAAAAAATGTAATTTACACGAAAAAACGTAATTAAAAATACAAGCGTAAAGTAACAATAAGAGGAAAGTTCATAAATACACGCACAACGCCAGTCCTACTTTTCTCGTTTTTTTTTTTTTTTAGAATTTTTTGAAGAAAAAGTCACTATAGAACTTCTGAGATTTCTGGGAAAAAAACTGAATTAAGTGATTTTCGCAAGCCTCTTATGAAGCCAACTTTACACTAAGAGAATTTTACAGAGATCTAAACAAATGGTTGTCAGAAGGGGCAAGGTCCAGGATATACGGTCGATGCATTAAAATTTTCCAGCCAACCTCTTACAATTTTTACCGAGATGCTAAAGGTATGTGTGATCTAACATTGTCGTGATGAAAGACAACGGCTTTCCGATTGATAGACTCTGGACATTTTTTTTTTTTTTTCATTAACTGCAGTAGGCGCATTAGTTGTTGACAAGAGAGTCAAATTAATTGTTTACCAGGTTCAAGTAGATCATGGTGAATAATTCCTTCTGAGTCCCACCAAACACTCGCATTACCTTCCTTGGCATCAATACAAGCTTTTTAAACGTCTGTGGAGATTCTTTGGTCTTCAACAACGATATTTTTTACACAGGAGTGTCGTACATGATCCACTCTTCATTACTCTTAACTATTCGTTTAAAAAATAGCTCAAGTTCAGTTCATTTGAGCAGCGGATCACAAATAGCAACTCTGTCCATAAAATTTATCTCTATTAATTCATGTGGAACCCACGTATCAAGCTTTTTTCAACATCTAGCCTTATGTTAACGTTTCAGAACTATTTTATGGTCAATTTTTAGTTCCACAGCTATGTCGTGAGATGAAATATGTCGGTCTGCCTTGATTTTTTGAAGAATTTCATCAATTTTATTAACAACAAGCCGACCAGGGCAAGATTCATCTTTAACAACGAAATTTCCAGAACAAAAACGAGAAAACCAATTCTGACACTGGCGGTTACTTAATCACTCATAACCATAAACACTTTACAATTTTTGATGGGTATGCGCTGTATTTTTTCCTTTTCGGAAATAAAAAAGCAAAATAAACGAAAATGACCTTCTGGAATTTATATTTTCAAAGCGCAATAACTTTTGTATAAGTACACAAATGGTGCTACTTTCATATCTATAATGTTCTATGGATTGTTATCTTTTACATGCGATATAGTGTGGCTTTATTTCATAAGCATCACTCGCAATGTACGACTTTCACGTGATGTATTTGGAAAAACCGAAATTACTCTCCCCCAATCTAATATGAAAAAAATTATTCGAAAAACAAAAAAATAGGTGAGCTCATATTTTGTACCTTGAAGTAGTTCTTTCCTAAAATAATTCTGAACGAAATGAAATGAATTCTTGAGGAATCATTTATTAAGTTACAATACACTACCCTTCAAAATTTTAGAATAGGCTAACGAAAATAAAAGGAGGAAAATGATACATAAAAAGTAAATTTTCAATATGTGCTCTTATAGCAACTAGGCATTACTTTACTGAAAATTGTAGCCTAGTTATTTATTTATTGAACACAATTAAGTAAAAACTAACACAATAAAGCTTACGCAATACTAAACATGCTGCCATTCCGAAAAACATATGTTCACGGACTTAATCAAAAGATATTAAAACAAACACAGACATACATTTTCGTATCCTATGTTGAAAGCATAGGCAAGCATCAACTGCTGGTATTTAGAAGATTTACGTAGTCATTTCTTCGAACTTTTAATCAGATATCATGATTTGAAATTTTGAATCGGTAATCAATTTAACTCTAACAAAATTTTTACAAATAATAGTTTAAAATTGAAGCAGTGTTAATAAATACCAACTTGATAGTCACACCCTTGACTCGAGGGTCATGATGAAAGAGCTATCTTTGAAAAAAAAAAAAACCGTAACTCAATGCAACACTTGATTCATCAAGTACGCATCCAAAGACACAATACACAGCGGACTGACACATTACATGCACAAACAATTACACCAAAATTAAGATTATCTAACTCTGTTCCAACTCGAGCCAATATTCGCGCTTCACCTAGATGCAAAAGTGACCCTCCTATTCCTCAGAGCGAGCTGGCCTTCAAAATTCTCCACCATTTTCTATCTTTTCTTCACCTCTTAGGTCCTTTTTGTTTTCTTGAAAAATGATCCTAACGGATCCATTCCATAAAGAAGATTAACTTTTAGTTGGCAGGCACGCCGGGTAAATCCAACACTTCCACTAGAATGGTCGAGCTGTCTTCTGAAGACTTTCTCCTGCTCGCTCCATCAAAAAAAAAAAAAAAAATTCCATAGAAAAGATTTTACATACCTGTGTATTTTGAAAATAGTGTCTCCATAAAGGTCTGATTTTATCTTGCCCACCAACATCCCAGACAGTAAAGCTTATATTTTTGTACTCGACTGTTTCGACGTTAAATCCTGAAATCATTTAAGAAGTTTAGACAGTATATCTTATACAAAATGTTAATTATTATTTCAGACAAGATTTTGCATTACAAATATATTATTTAGTTGTTTCAACTGTCGTCAAATTAATGAAAGGTATGGAAATTATATTTTTGGAGATTTGGTCGTCAAATTAATGAAAGGTATGGAAATTATATTTTAAGATTTTAAATTTTTGTATGAAAGTTCATGCAAACAAAAGTGTAAGCGAGTTAGCTTATTTGAAAAAAAAAAATCCTCCGTCCGTTTTTTTTACAGATTGATAATTTAAAGAATAGCAAAAATAGCCTGGTATATTTATTGAGAGCCAATTTCCACAAAATCTATGTGGAAAGAGGTTAAAAAAGTCTATTGAACTGGATTTCGCGATTCTTAAAGCAAAAAATTAGTTCGAAAAAAAAAAGTGTAAAACAGCGCCAAAAAAGACGACGAAATTGAGTTTTCATACTGTGATTTCAGGCCCGTGGATTGACTTCCGAGCGCCTGCCCGCGCAGCGCTGCAGAGTAGATTTCTCTTTTATGTATCTCTGCCCATTTTCTTTGTTTCTTCAAACGCTATTTTACACTATTTTTCAATTGTAGTAAAAAAAATTTTTTTAACATTGAAAATTGCAAAAAATCTGTTTTACGGACCTTTTCAAAAATTTTTTCACGTAGATTCCAAAACAATTTGAATTTCAAAATCATACTAAGCTGTTTCTGCTGTTTTATCATAATTATTCGGTCAAAAAAAGGGACATTCAAAACTTCTAATCCCAATTTATAACCTTTTATTTCATTTTCTGGTCGATAATAGTGATCCTAACTTATATAAATCAATCCTTGTGCTTGTCTTTCCAGATTTACTCCATATACCCTACCTTTTCTAAACAGTATTACTACTATAGGATATGTGGGCACCCGCAAAACCTACCCTATAACTAACTTAAATGCAGGATCAGCTGCAAAACATCAACAGTTAATCAATTATGATGGTATAAAAAAAATTTCATGATATTTACACAATCGACTTTTTTGTTCGTAGCATATTGTTAAAAGGTTAAGAAATGACATAATTAAATTTTACGTCAGCAACTTCACTGATTTCAACTTTTCTTCTCACTTGAACTATGAGGAACTTGAAAAATATGTCTAAAATTAATAAAAGAAGGACGCTTAACACTTACAATATCAAAAAATTTCACAAAATATATTACTTTTTAATTTTTTAAATACATTTTAAATGCAGGGTAAAACCAAGAGTGTAAGTTTTGCCGTGCAGGGAAAAAGTTTCCGAATATCATGATAAAATTATGAAAATGCCTTAGTGTGCTCAATTACAATGTAATGAAAAATTTTCTTTTAATAAGAAAAAAATTTTTTGCACTTTGCAACGATTATCATTAAACATACACAGAGCTTCAAAATTAAAGATTTAGCATCTAGTTTTCTATGTCAATAGACAATTTTTTAAAATAATTTATTTGAATCTCATACGGTGGCCCAAATCCATAAAGAGCCATGATGCAAGTAACCAAAACATAGTTAATCCGATATAAAATATAATGTCTCTGGATTTCTAATGTGCAGTCCAAATGAGCTTTGATAACCAGAAAAATTCACTGAGACTGCGCAGCAGTCAGTTACTAATTTGGAGTTACTGCGCAGTGCACTAACGGTAGCGTAACTGTATAATGACGGATACAAACGACGTCATACCGTAACGACCGTAACAATGTAATATGTTATGCCAGAAACTGAAACCAACGAGCAGTCGAGTACGGCTGGTGATGTCATTACACATTAATTATCGATTTTGATAAAAAAAAAGTCGCTATTTTCCAAGTCAGTACAAAGCAACGGTTAGGTAATTTAACATCACAATTTTCACATTAATCAGATGAACAAATGATTAATTCACTGTACAAATTTGGTAGGAAAATAGTGTTTTTTTAACGAAAGGACGATCACTAAAAAAAGAAAAAGTTCAAAAATAAAAAAATAAAAAATAATAATCCGCATTGAAGTGATCTAACGCAACTTTTTTTTAATTCGTAAAAAAATTGCAGCTTTACGACGAACCTAGTCACAAAGCTATGCGATAAAGAAAAAGTTATTTTATTTATTTTTAAATTTAAGCATACCTGTTTTTTAAAGCTTTTTTAAACAAATCAATTCATAAAAATCGATAGGGTACAAATTATACCTCATAATGTAACTTTTAAAGAAGATAATCCTGTCTGATTTATTGTTCTATGCAAAAAAATGGCAGCCCATAAACAAAGAGACCTTTTTAGTAAATAATTGACTTTTTGCGAGAACTAGGGGAGTGTTACGTGGGGTTTACGGTGCGGAAATAAATAATAGACCGACTTATGGTTAACTTGTGCTTTATTGCAATTACTTATATTCGAGGGAAGCCACGCGTGTACTAATCTCGTGGGCCCAGTCCTTACGCTCTCGTGTCTCTAGCTTATCCTCCTTTTACTCCGTTCCTTCGCTCTCCTTTTCCTATCACTTCTCTTCTCTATTCTCCTACCTTTCGGGCCCAAGCCAGCAGAGGCGCACGCACGCATAGCTATATGCTATCGTACGCAACACGTCCGAGGCCGCGACGCCGACGTTCTCGACGGCGATTTTCTCCTCTATCTGCATGTTTGTGGTAGAGTAGTGTCTGTGTTATGTTGTTTGTGTTGTATAGTATTTTCAGTTAGAGGAAAGAGGGTGGTTTGAAGCGCTCTGTCCCTATTTTCTCTAATGGTTTATTTCGCTGTATTTTATGTGTATACATTTTTGTTTATTGTTTACGTGTTTCCCTCATACAAAAAATTTGTTCTAAGATTGTCTTAATTACTTATATTACATAATCACTTAACTATACATTTGTTGCTTTTTATTTATGTACACATGCACTATACAATGGTCTATGATAACAATTTGTTTTCACATTACGCAATAATTATATAACTGTTAATTTCATGCCTTTTTTTTCATTGTCAAGGATGTCGAGGGTCAAGGACTTACTGTTTAACTTATTTCTAGTTGTGTTGATATTATTTGTGGTCAAGGATGTCGAGGGTCAAGGACTTACTGCTTAACATATTTCTAATGTTGTTACTATTTTGGCTAATCCGACTATAAATTTTTTTTTTATCGACGTTATAATTATTTTTAAAGTTATTAGTATTATTATTGTTAATATTTTTATTTTTATTTTTAATTTTTTTTTATCACTACTTAAATTTCATATTATATTTTACGATATATTCGCTTC